GAGAGACACTCCCTCGAAGGTGATGTTGACCAGGTAGCTCGAGTCTGGGTCCGCCATGAGCTCCTCGTTAAAAAGAAGGGGTCAGATTTCGTGGCTTTAGGCCTTAGGGCCTTTGGGGCTTTAGGATTCAGGGTTTAGGGCTTTGGTTGTTCTTTTTTAGGGGGCTTTGGGGTTTAGGGTTTGGGGTCTCAGTGACTGGGGGAGCGCATGGGCTTTTAAGGACAGGGCTAAGGATCTAGGGGCGCTTGACCGGATGGTGTTCTGACGAGTTCGGGTTGACCGCTGAGGCTTGAAACTGATGCTTCTTGGGGCAGTAGAATGAAGCGCTGCAAGAAGCATCGGCACGACAGCATCGCATGGAACGACAAGAATCAGCATCACCACAACCATACTCCGACTGCATGCTAGAGGCACCCTCGTCTTGGATATCACTGCTTCGTGATGCACCGGTCTGCCATCTGAGCGCGCTGCTGCGATGGTCAGAGACTCCCCCAGCCTGATCCGCAGGAGGCTTCTCTAGCAATCGGAGCGCCAGCGCCCACCATGTGCGATCCGACGTGCCGGAGGGATGAAGCTGAAAGAACTTCCCACGGTCTCCTATTTGGGTTGGGATTCTGGCCCCCATTGGCCCGTTCCTGAGGCTTCAGAAAGTATCCTCAGAGGCCCGGGCGAAGACACGCGCAAGAAGACGCGATCGCCGGGAAGCCAGAGCTCATCCTGCATCGGAGCTATACTTCTTTGCCCGTCAGCTCGTGGATCGACGGAGTTTAAGACTAAGAGGGGTGAGTTGGGTCCACTCTGAATCGGCTGAATGGTCCGCACAAGCTTGGGTAACCTCCCAAAAAGAGCATACCCCGAGGGGGCCTGCTGAGAGTATGCCTTGTCGGTGCCCTGCAGAACGCAGCAGCTGTCCTCTTCGCACATGGGTCGAGGGCTTGCGGCTTGAAATCGACCCTGTGGCTGTTTCATCTTCGACACTGCTGTCTTTGCTGGATTACTCAGGTCGAATATGCCTTCGTATGTGCGCAGAAACGAGGACTAGATCACTTTGGTAGTGGACTCAGTGCCACAAGCTGAACAGCAAAGTGATCCGACCGGAATGTGTGTACAGGACGCTTTCGGGTTCTGTTGCTTCGGCTAGAACGGCTATAAGAAGCCTCCTACACAAAATTGTGAATACGGTATACCGTACGCCAAAGCCCTGTTCTAATCATGAAGCCTATCAGCTCTTGGTTGTCGGAGGATCGATGCCCAACTCCCCTGTTAGCCTGCAGCGCATCGGTGGACGACGAGGTCCAGCCTTCACTGGCAGACACATGGACTCAGGTTGCAGCAGATACATAATCTAATTGTATATTCTACCTTTTTGTAGCTTGCCACGCAAACTAGCTGCTAGCCCGGACCTTCAGGAGCAATGTACACCTGTGCCTGCTGTGGGGCCGGAAGGCAGTCACATGCAGGTGCAAGGTCTCAATCATCCAGACTAAAAATCTTTGATGCACTCGGCCTTTTGCCGTAGGGCCGTAGGACAAGACACATAACTAAGTCAGCCCTCTTCCACCCAGAGGTCGGAAAACCCCGGCAATTCTCCCAACGTTGAGAGTTTAGAAGCCACGGTAGTCGGTGTTTTTGACAGCGATCGAGGCCCCAGCTGCAGCTGTTCGAGACACACTTCAAGAATCCAGCCTTCAGGAGTCTTGAAAGCAGGGTTGCGCTCCAGGCTCCAGGATTACTATAGAGGTCGGAAGAAGTAGGCTGAGGCGGCTGAGGTATCGAGGGCTTTCTGCGATCTGTGTCTTCGGACACTCTCTGGAATGATGTAACCAATCAGGACGGCCCTGGAGGAGCAAATCGCCGAGGCTTGGGCGCAGTGGCTGTCCCGGCTGCATGTGCCTGCACGAACACAGGCAGCTCATCAATAGTCGCATGTGGCTTCAAGGCGAGGCGCGGGCATCGATGCAAAATCCTGATTGCTGGCGTCCGCAAGCCTTCGTCGACGCCGCAAGGGGTGCCATCAGAGCAGCAGCCACCTCGGTGCCACCCCAGCACATGGAACCCGAAGCCTGTTATACACCCGGATCCTTCGATGTTAACAGAAGGCCAGGTCAACCCGCTTTCATTAGCGTGTCGGGCTGGTGGCGCTCAGGGTTGCGAGTCGCACAATCTCTTCCTTACCAAACACGATGGCACTCTGGGTGGCGCGCTGTTGCCATTCTCTAGGTCGGCGGCGTCGGAGCCGCAGCCAACCGCTGTGCCCTGGCACGAGCATACCGACGACGATCATGAGTGGACGTCGACGTGGCAAAAACCCAACCCTGCACATGTCTTAGACAGCAAGGCTGCAAAGGTCGAAACGCCGTTTCTGAGTGCAGATCACTCGCACGGTACGTTTCGATGAGAAAATCGCCAGCAGACTAGATCCCAGTGCGATGCAGGCAGGACCCATGCTCCCTCTCTCGCACCCTCGCGAAGTCCGTTGTAATCTGGTATGCATGTGCATTATATGTTCTGCATATTACATATTATATATATATATATATATGTGTGTGTGTGTATATACACACACAGCACACACACACACATCTTTGTCTAGACGTATGCATGCATGCGAAGTCTTCCCGAAGACATCTGGTTGAGAGCGTGCCTGGAGACCATCCCGGGACGTGGCAGGCCTGGAGAACCCCAAGGGAGCTTCTTCGAACTATGGCCCCTGGCTTGTAGGTCTTATTGATGAGAATCCTTTTGGGGCACTTAGTTTGGTAAAAGTCTTTGCTGAGAGCAGCAGGATCCATGCCTGGCGCGGTTCAATGGGCACTTGGAGACCAAGGACTTGGAGCTCTGGGTTTGCACGATGCTCCGGAAGGCTGCCTGTCACCAGCATCATCACCACCATCGCCAGGGCCATCCTCCTCGCCCTTTGGACCCAGGGTCCGGGGCTCGGGCAAAGTGTACATCAGCTCGATGTTCGGCGTGTGGGAGTTTCGGAAGGTGAAGGCGGCGCTCTTCCTGCTTCGCCAAAGGCATTGCATTCATCACGGTGCCTCTGAATTCGTTGCTGTCCCTCACAGTGCTCTAAAGGGATGTCTTCTGCCACGCACGTCGACCCTCATATGGCCTTCCTCACACGATGGCATCATGTAAGACCTCACTCTCTGGCTACAGAGATATGAAGCTCTTGGCTGCCCGGCGTTGATGTCACAGCCGCCCGAGCAAACCTCAGCTGTGGACTTCGAGAGACTTCCTTGAATGCTTGATGTTGGACAGGGTGTTTCTGCATCTGCGGAAGCGGAGCATGGGCTAAGCTCATGATGACCTATATCGGTTCCGGTGTGCAGAATGTGCGGGCCTCAATAATCACAACAGGTTCGGGGGGGGATGTTACATATGTTTTATAATCCGTAGATATGCATAAATACGGTGATACTACTACTTCTTACTCCGACCCCTATGCTATCAGGACATCTCACGATTCTTGCTTATCCCTATAACCGTAGGTGAATGGCGCCGAGGAGCTTCTCGGTGCGGCGCTCGAAGTAACGGCAGTCGAGAAAGCCTGTCGTTCTGAGACCCTGAAGATGTAGGCCTGAGTTTAGATTCTAAGATGAAGTAGCAAGACTGAGCACTGAGTAACAATGAAGCGGAAGAAGTGACAGTGCCTGCTAATGGTGGGATTGAGGTCGTGATGGTGGCTGAAAGCTGAGGATTGCTGTGAGTTGGTCGGCGCAAAGCGGAGGTCCTGGATGCTTCTTCCACTCCAGATGGCGAACACGAGTAGAGCAGCATGATGGGTCTACCGGGTGTCGGTTCGGCACACAGCCAGAAAGAGAGAGAGAGAGAGAGAGAGCGAACACAGCATGAATCGGAGATGAGAACGGGTCACAGGTGAAGTAGCGGCCCGCCTTGGTCCTTGCAGTCGGAGCACCGCGAGAAGGATGTGCGGGCCATGAAGCACCTTTGAAGCCTGCCATATCTTAAGAGTTGTAAAGTTACTGCAGCAGTCAGAAGCTTTTTGGGGGTATTTACTTTGATCCATGAATATACAAATGCGCACACATGAAAAGCATAGTTGGTCAGCCAGCTTGTTTCCTAGTCGAAGGAAGACGGCAAAGGATCGTGGCTGAGGCAACCTGTCTAAGGACAACAGTAGCAGGCATCGTAGATGCAACTTGGCTGCTGGGACTTCCAGCATTGCCAGCGGACGTTAGTTGGAGAAACGGGGAGTCAAGTACAAAACGCGCAATGCTGCTTTTAGAATGTCTGTCCATCTATGCATACATGATAACTAAATGCATGCATGGTGCATGCGTGCATGCGCTCATGCCGTGCATGCGCTCATGCCTGCATGATGTCGCATCAACTAAACCGCAAGAAGTCTGCAGTACGGGGGGGCCAACGCATGGGGGCAGGTGAGGTCTCTAGGCAAGTCAGGCCGGCTCTATCTGGCGTGAGTTTAGTGCCGTTTTGGCAATGATGCATTTTTGAGGCATGTCCTGAGCACAGAATGGAGGCAAGGATGCTTGAGCTCCCACACTTCAGGTTTCATTGAACCCCAAGCTTGCCACTTGGACTTGACGCGGGCGCATGCACAGCACTGCGAGGGGCACAAAGCCCCAGCAGCTCCTACTTGTACAAGCCAGAAACTGCTGAAGGCTGGGTTTTGCTCCGCTCCGTCTCAGCATCCGGGCCTTGCACGGTAGTCGAAGGAGGCGCAGTCGTGTGTCGTGAGACATCGAAGCGCACATTCTTCCTGCCAAGATTTCCCTCAAGCTGCAGGCGCTGCCGTGCTGTCGAGATTCGCAGTGGCAGGAGAGTCTTGGGTATTCTGTAATGGTGTGAGCTTTGCACTGCTTCATCAAGAGTGGGTGTCAGTGACAGCGGCACATCTCGATAGCCCCACGCCAAGAAAGATAGGTCGCTCAGAAGGCAGAGGACATCAGCATGCATTGCTGGCAAACCCCGCCCGTCACAAACAGGAAGAACCAGCTGGCTACTTATCCCACCTGGCTCATGCAATTGAAGGTCCGGTAGTTGTCGTTGTTCCTGGTGAGAACAGGCAGGCCATGGAAATGCTACTAAAAATGAAAGCAATCACAATATTGGCACTAACAATATGACACTACCACTAGCAAGTAGTAAAAAGACTTGAAGACTGATGCGACAGAGCCATGGTTATGACAATATATAGCGGGCCTGTGATAGTACAGTTTGACCAGCAGGACTCCAGGACCAGCCCAAACCTCCGACAATCTTCCGACTTCAGAACTGCTGCAAAAGCTGGTAAGGGCTTACAGGTTCCAGGGTTAGGGAAGTGACGGCTTAAGGTGAAGTAGCTAAACTCACAACGCTAAACCCTAAACCCTAATCCCTAAACCCGCGGCATGAGGTGAAGGAGGCCAAACTGCCCTTCCAAAACCCAGGGGGTCCGATTTGGCTCCCTGGGCCGAGACCAAGGAGTCATGCCCAGGGTCTCGAAGTAACAATAATGTTAAAATTAAATGGTCATCATAATGATAATAGTGGTGAAAGAAAACTAATAACAATAATACAAACGATAATAATAATAATAATAATAGAGGATAGTAATGCCAAGTTCCCGAAAGTAAGCAGCATCATTGTCACGACTTCAGTTCTGTGTTCGATCATGTCTATCCGGCCTGTGAAACGAATCCAGTTTTGCATAGGCGGTCCATTGTGCTCTTCAAGTGTTGCTAGAGTTACTACTTACTACCACCGATGCTGCTGTCATCACTCGCCTTTACGTTTTGGTTGCTCCAACTGGTGTGCTTGCTACGGTCATTGCTAGTATGCTTTCCAATCGCTGTGGTTTTTGCTGCTATCCTTCTCGCTCTTTCTATTGCTACATGCGGGCAACACAGATACTGTACGCAAGCAGGCTTAAAGCTTCGCATAGCAACAGTCCTGCACTGTGACAGATGCACAACCCTACTTACCGAACCCTGCGCCGAAAGTTTACAGAGCCTCTTTTGATCCCCGTAAACCCTAAACCCAATCTTGACCAAGCCCGACACCTACCTACCCTCCCCCTGCCTGAGGCATCCTGCTGCCGCTTCGCCGAAGGCTGAAAGTGGGCTCCTCGCCACCTTCGTCGGGCACACTTGTTTTGGGGTGTTGGGAATCAGGGCTTTAAGGGCTCAGGGCAGGGTGTAAGGGGATTCAGGGCTTTAGGGTTAGGTCTACGGGAGCTTGGACATGGGCTTCAAGGTCGTTCGTGTATTGCTAGCAGCTTTTTGGCCTCTCTTAGGGGTCCAGTCAACACTTGTCGGGTTCATCCGCGCCTCTGTGTCCCAGAGGGAGACCTCCAAATCCATGGTGCCCCAGTTGGCAGAGTCCTGGCACAAAGAAGCGAGCCCCGACCAGAAAAAAACACAACCTGCCAAGGCATTGAAAGGATGGCGTGGTACAGCTAGGCTTGTCCGAGACCCTACACCGCGTCAACTCCCAGTCCTCATCAAAAGCTCGATGATTCAGCTTGCCTCAGACAGGTTGAATGTGGCCAGGTCTACATCCTGAACACATCGTCCTCGAAACTGGAAGGCCGAACAAGTGGTCGTGCTTTTCGTGCATCTTTCGTTGCGAAGTTTTCTACCCTTGCTTACCATAGTTTAAGTCGCCTCTGTGCGCAGAGCATGCACTCATGGTCGAAACTTCTGAAAGAACAGCTCGCAAGACCCAAAAGCTTTTGGGGACTCCGTCTTCCTGCCAAGCAGCATGTCAAGGATGCGTAGCCCGAGGCTACGGGGTCGCAGGTGCTCCAAGGATTCGATCCAAAACCTCAGAAGACTAAGTCGGTGGCTGTGCTAGGGTTGTTGTGCGTCTAGCTTCAGGCAGTACAGCGGCCTGGAACCCAAAACTTTGATCAACAGCGGTCCTCGAAATAAGGACGTGGCGGACGAAGTGCCTGGAGGGAGTCGCTGCGAAGCCCTTGCCAAAAATCGTGACCTGGAGAGCTCCGGAGTCGATTGCATGGAGGGCAGGCAGCTCATCCCAGGACGTTGAGAGGTCTCTGACGCAAAACCGATTTCAGCTCGATAAAGTTACAGAACAAGGCATGGAAGCAACTCAGTATAATCCAATATAACATAACATAACATAACAT